ATCCCAAGAGCACGTAAGGTCCTCCGTGTTAAGCCGCTTCTTTGTCGATGCGAAGGTTGAGAAGAGTGGATCGACGATGGACTGCGGCATGAGCACAGAAGAGTCTGGGAATTCGTAGGGGTTAGGGGTTAGGGTTTAGGGTTTAGGGTTTAGGGTTTAGGGTTTAGGGTTGAGGGTTTAGGGTTTAGGGTTTCCGGTTTGCGGTTTAAGGCTTAGGGCTTAGGGTTTAGGGTTCCCGGAACCTTGTTGATCTCTGAGCTTGCCACTTGAAACAAAAATCGGCCTTCATGTACTTGCGGTAGACCCCCTCCACACGCTCTGTGTGAAGAACTGTTTCCCTCCATTGCCTTAGCTGGAAAAGTTCACACTTTGCCCTTTGCATGTGACACATGTGAAGCCAGGCGTCCGTAAGTCAACTGCAACGAGGTATATATGGTTGTCAAAGTGATGGTCCCTTTTGGGATCCCTGATATAATACGGCACCTAATGACAAAAGGGTACCCCAAAAGGGATCATAATTTTGACAACCACCCATATATAATGAGCTGAACTGAAGGCAGGTCGCAGGCACCGGAAGTTGTTCTTCATCGGTGCGTAGGGGTACCTATCCCGGCCATGCATGACCCTTGTAAGTCGCCCTGATCGCATGATCGCTCACAAGCTCTCACACACGCGGAGAGTAGTCGGTGAGCGAACCCTGAAATTTCCAGATGCCCTCCACGTTTGCCTTGCAGCCCTTGAGAACTAGGGCACAACAGATGCTTCGTCATGAGGTAGCCAAGTGCTCGTCGAATTTGGTCCGTCTTTTCCTGCGAGTTGAAAACAGCAAGGAACAGGTAAGGAACATGAACAGTCACCAAGCAACTAAGCAACACAGCAAGGACGTCAAGCCATCCAGGTCAAAGGCCGCCAGGCATTTCGAGTTCGGGTTTTTCCAATGAGGCAACTTGCAACTTCAAAAACTTCAAGATACTTGCTTTGCTCTTTCAGTCACGTAACAGCAGGTGTGCAAAACACTTGAGATTCGTACCTTGGTGCAGGCGCAGAATGCTACAAGTGACATATGCTCTTTCACCGATTGTCGTAGGCCTTCGACGTCCCTCGTGACTCGTTGCCCCGCGCAAAGCCTTGATCTTCAGGCTCTTTGGAAGTTTTGGACCCCCAAAACTACTCATGGAATGGTAGGTGCCCAATGAACACGTGTACCGGGCCTAAAGTCTATTGCTGTGCTGCTAGGCTCATGCTCACACAAAAGGCATGCGCAGCCATCAACGAGCGCTCATCGGAAACAACGAAACAGAGCAACAGTGATGCCAAGCGCCGCACAAACTGCCAGTCTGACAAGAAGCCTGAAGGTCCCAGTGAGACCAAAATCATGGATCGCCACATAGTCTTGGACCCTTGCACTATCTGTTGTCTTTTGCCTCTTCCAATCGTCTTGGCCAATCAAAATAATCAAACGCACGAACTTGAGGGGCAAGCTGCGGCCAACGAAAGCTAGGGAAGGAAAGAGCTCGAGCGAACTACGATTCGAGGTAGCCTTCAGGTGCGGGGAGCCAGACCGCCCGAAGGGAAAAGGCCGCGCTTCGGATGTCATGCTGGAACCTACTGCCAGGCGTCGCAGGTGTGCCAAGGAGGCAGAAATTCGCTGATGATTGCTTATCAGGCTCCAAAGGCCATGCTCTGCGTGTGCTGGTATGACAAGTACCCCTTTAAACTCGGTTGAATTCACGTCACGCACGATTCAGATGCCCTCCACAAACCACGCATCTCGATAAACCAGCTATTTGCAGCTTTCCAGGCATCTGATGTCGCTGCCAAGCTTCAGCAAGACTAAACTCAAGCCGTAGCTGTTATTGTGGGCCAACTCAGTTGTGCCGACTGTCGCACACAAAGCACAGAAAGCAGTGAACACTCTTCTTGCGGATCTGCTGTCGAGGGCTGGTGTGGTGGGCATACGGCTGCATCTCTGAGTGAGGCACTCGAAGAAGCCATGCCTCTGGATGATCCGCCCCTCAGCAACGAGGCAGAACTGACACCGTGGCCCGCGGCATCTTGTGGCACATTGAATCAAGCAGCCCCCGAGATGAAATTGTTAGCCTAAAGAAGACACTTCCGCGTGTCTGCTCGACAAACAGCACCCTGCCACATCCTTCTGGCCCTGGCGCGACAAACCCAGCACGCTTACATTATTGCCAGAAAGCCTGCATGCAGAAGGCATCGACCCACTTTCTCGTGTCCTGCCAGATGCATTCAGGGTGGAAATGCATCAACAGCACGCTGTTCAGCGTCGTCAGCATCATGCAACACCAAACTGCACGCCCTCGTTGAGTTCCCAGTTCCCTCCTTGGGAGGCAATGCAGAGGCGATGAAGAGGGCATCTGCCTCCTTCAAGGAAAGATCCTCGGGAGCATTCAAGAAGTCGTTGTGCGACGTATTGATTACAGTACAAATTACATGCAACGCTGCGCGCGGCATGTACTATCATGAGACATGTCTGGTGAGCTCCGCCTTGCGGAAACTATCTGAGAATCCTACCTGGCCGATCAAGTTGTGCTGCACAAGCCTCAGGTGTCGCCATTTGCTCAGCAAGAAAGTGTGTTGATTCGGGTTGTGAAGGATGTGAAGCATCCTCACCTTACACAGCAGACATGAGCTCCACACATGTGGGTGAACTCGAAGGGGCCGATGCCAAAAGCAAGTCGCTTCGGTTCCTGCCGGCAGCAGTACCGACGTGGTTTGAAGATGCACTTCCTGCAGCTAACTTTGCAGACAAACTCAGGTTTCAAAGCAACATCCTAGAGCAGCGTCGTGCGTTCGTGTGCATGAAGGTCAGCACATGCTCATCAACCTGCTGGACATGCTGCCTTGCCGTGAAGGACGCTCCAGTCCACCGAGCACAGGGAGGTGTACAGCACCTCTCTGCTTAGTTCGTCAGCAGTGTCAAATGGAAACCTTTGCTGTAAGAAGTGGCTCATCAGCACACGAACTGCATGAGACTGTAGCCTGGCCTGGCATCCAGCTTCGTGGAATTGGGTTAAACCCGTGCGGCATGACAAGGTTTGCGCCGTGAATCAGCTGTACCCGAAGCACCTTCATCTCCGCGTACTTCGCACGCAGAAGATCACGAATGCCCGCTCGCTCCACCTCTTGCAATTGTTGTCATTCGGCGCTGGCAGACATCTGAGGGAATGGAACTTGCAGGCTGAAAGGAACCCTAAACCCTAAACCCTAAACCCTAAACCCTAAACCCTAAACCCTAAACCCTAAACCCTAAACCCTAAACCCTAAACCCTAAACCCCCCCCCCCCCCCGCACTCTGTCGACTTTGCCTCATCCGGCACAAGATGCACGACTCTCGACAGGTGCCAATCGATGTCCAGACATCGTTCACCTGGGCTCACTGCTGCACTATCTCACCACTTTAGGGTCTAGGGTTTAGGGTTTAGGGTTTAGGGTTTAGGGTTTAGGGTTTAGGGTGTAGGGTGTAGGGTTTAGGGTTTAGGGTTTAGGTTTAGGGTTTTGGGTTTAATTTAGAACAACACCCTACATGCAGAACCCTTGCAGAAGTCTTCTTGTCAAGCACCACTGTTTTTGGCATGGCGACTGGGATCCGAAACTTGTGAGAGGATCATGACATGACTGGCCGCAGCGACTGTAGAAAAGTGCGAACGAAAGCTAGGGCCCCGAAGGTAGCAGGTGGCCTTTGTTTTTCCGCAGCCAGGGCTTGCTTGCAGCCCCAACCCCCCCCCCCTCGCGGTAGGCAAAGTCGCAAGACCAGAAGGTTGAGAAGAGAAACTCCCCCAAGCTTTGAGCGGCTAGGCCGATTGGAACCCCTAAACCCTAAACCCTAAAACTCTACATCCTAAACCCTAAACCCTAAACCCTAAACCCTGAACTCTGAACTCTAAACCCTAAACCAGGGCCCCTGCAGGGCCTTGCAAGATGCTTCCAAACGAATGCCCCGAGCTCCCGGCAGAACTGCTTGGAGGTCAAGGGCTGACCAGGCAAAGTGATTTAGGGTTTAGGGTTTAGGGTTTAGGGTTTAGGGTGTAGGGTTTAGGGTTTAGGGTTTAGGGTTTAGGGTTTAGGGTTTAGGGTTTAGGGTTTAGGGTTTAGGGTTTAGGGTTTAGGGTTTAGGTTTTAGTGTTTAGGGTTTAGGGTTTAGGGTTTAGGGTTTAGGGTTTAGGGTTTAGGGTTTAGGGTTTAGGGTTTAGGGTTTAGGGTTTAGGGTTTAGGGTTTAGGGTTTAGGGATGCAAGATGCTCTGGGATGTTCCCCCTTATACCAACAGTCCTTACTTGGAGTTAGGTTTAGGGTTTAGGGTTTAGGGTTTAGGGTTTAGGGTTTAGGGTTTAGGGTTTAGGGTTTAGGGTTTAGGGTTTAGGGTTTAGGGTTTAGGGTTTAGGGTTGAGGGTTGAGGGTTGAGGGTTTAGGGTTTAGGGTTTAGGGTTTATAGGGTTATAATAGTTTGTACTAGAATCCACATTAAGGACTGCTAGTATAAGGGGGGGCATCCCAAAACATGCTGCTGTTGGAAGCCCGTGCAGTCACGTGAGGCAGAGCAAGTCTCTATCAGCAGTGACATGGCACAAAACAGATACACTTGATACAATGGCCTGGAAGCGGCTTGAGAGCTTTCACAAAAAACTGACCTCTTCTTCTAAAACGGAACGGTCAGGCCTCAAAGTGAGGCGCAAACAATGAGCTTTCGATGCTCCATTCCTGTCAGCAAAGCTCGATTCCCGACTGGCGTTTGTCTCACTCCCCCCTCTACCATCCTCCCCAATCTGAACTTCTGCAACTCGTTACGCGACTTCCTCTTAGTCAGTCGTGGCTGCCACCTCTGCTCGTACCGCATGCCACGGCAACATACGATTAGAAAACTCTGCTGGTTCAGGGGTATGGGGTTTGGATGGTCCGGAGCGCAGGGCTTCGAAAATTTAAGGACTTGAGGCCCAGAGTCCTTGTGAAGTTAAGCGAAAAGCCTTTACAGAGGCTTTATGTGGCAGAACCAAGCCTCTTGGTGGCTTCGAGAAAAACAAACTCCGGCAAGCTTCGCTCACGACCACCTGGCAACGCCTGGAACTTGGAAACTGGGTAACGGCAAAAAGCAAACGTTTCAGAAATTCGTTCTTCCGGCCTTTGCTGTCTTTGGTGTCCATCCAAAGCCTATGCATTGTTACAACAAATTGTTAGCAACTATTCGCGTAAAACCGCCGGCTTCTCTGTGTGCAAGCCTTTCAACAGCTGTGGGCATTTCCCAAAATAGGGGTACCCCTTCTCTACCCCAGACAGAATAGAATTCCCTTAAGGGGGACCCCCAAAAAAAATACCCCGCCCTATTTTCGGAAACCCCCCCGCTGTGTCCATTGCCGCCCCCCAGGGCTGCGGCCTGGTGCGGAGCGGTGCTAGGCGTCAGCTCGCCCGGAAGCCGGGGGATGTAGGCTGTGCACACCGGCCTCGCATCTTACCAAGGATTCCCAAATTCGGGGGGGGGGGGGGGGCTTACGAGAATAAGGGGGACCCCCCTAATCTAGGTCCCCGAAAGAATCTTCTCATAAGGACCCCAAGAAGGTACCCCTAAGGTCGTGAACCTCCCGACTGATGCCAGAAGCCTAAACCCTAAACCCTAAACCCTAAACCCTAAACCCTAAACCCTAAACCCTAAACCCTAAACCCTAAAACTGCTGCTGGGGGGCTCGTCAGCCGGCCGTGCTACCACCATGATTGTGCTGAAGGTATCCACATCGACGTCCAGAGGAGCGGAGTCGGCCTGGGCTCAAAAGCGTCCTTCCCAGGGGACCTAATATAGGGTTTAGGGTTTAGGGTTTCGGGTTTCGGGTTTAGGGTTTAGGGTTTAGGGTATAGACCCACAGATAGTCAGGATCACCTTATCTTTCAGGCACCCCAATAAGGTACCCCGAATATCGCAAACCCCCCATATTCCCACTCCTTCCCCGCCCCCCTTTCCACCGCACATTTTCCATGCGCTTTCCAGAGGCGCCCTTGCACCAAATGCTCTGCCTTGCTCTGCCTTGCTATGCCTTGCTCTGCCTTGCAACATCTTGCAACCTCCCATGGCTCGAAAACCTGCGACACAGGCCAAGTCACCGCAGGCGCAGGCATTTCGTCGTCTTCCGCCTGCAGGGGTTGTGGGGCCTAAACCCTAAACCCTAAACCCTAAACCCCTGTAGGGACTCAGGGATTCGAGCTGCCCAGAAGTCCTGCGACTCGCCGGGCAGCCGCGCGCGCCTGAGTCGAAGCGCTGGACCTTCAGCTTCCGTCACTTCAGTCACCACTCTGATCTCATCCGGACATCATTCTCTGCTGAAGGGCCATGATAAGGGTTTAGGGTTTAGGGTTTAGGGTTTAGGGTTTGGGGTTTGGGGTTTAGGGTTTAGGGTTTAGGGTTTCGGGAGCCTGCATCTTTCTGCCCAGAAAGTAGGCCAGCCTCCCTTCTCTGAGGTAGCAGCCATCCTTGCCCAGCACAGGTGAGATGCCTGACACCGGGCTGGGACTACCATTCCTTATCCTCCGCTCTGTCCGCTGTGCCCCTTCCGAAACTCAAAGCTCCCCTAAACCCTAAACCCTAAACCCCAAACCCTAAACCCTGAACCCTAAACCCTAAACCCTAAACCCGAAACCCTAAACCCTAAACCCTAAACCCTAGCTCCCGCCTGCAGAAACCAAAGAATGGTGCGACGGGGCAACTCGCCATTAAGTGAAGGGCAGACTCGAAACACTCCAGGACAGCACGGGTGATCTAGGCACGTACTACCCGTAGCTGCTAGCATCGTTCATTACCAGACCCTAAACCCTAAACCCTACACCCTAAACCCTAAACCCTAAACCCTAAACCCTAAACCCTAAACTCCAGCAACCTGGCAGATCCCGAGCCCTTCGAAACGGGACAGCGAGGCTCGTGGAGGAGTAGACGCCGAGGCCGCCCTTCATGGCAGCCACCATCTCCTTGAGGTCCACCTCGGCCATAGGTTTTAGGGTTTAGGGTTTAGGGTTCAGGGTTTAGGGTTTGGGATTTGGGGTTTAGGGCTTGGGGTTTAGGGTTTAGGGTCTAGGGTCTAGGGTCTAGGGTTTAGGGTTTAGGGTTTAGGGTTTAGGGTTTAGGGTTTAGGGTGTAGGGTTTAGGGTTTAGGGTTTAGGGTTTAGGGTTTAGGGTTTAGGGTTTGGGGTTTGGGGTTTAGGGTTTAGGGTTTAGGCGGGGCATTTCTTTACCAGTGGACCAGGGGCGAAACAAGATGGACAACAACTGAACCTGAAACCCTAAACCCTAAACCTTAAAACCCTAAAACCCCAAACCCCAAGCCCGTCCATGCAGTGCCCACACCCTGGAGCCCATGGCCTCAGGGGCCGTCCGCGAGCAAAGCAGCGAGGTGCCAGCTTGGAAGACGCAACGCAAGGGCCTCGGGAAAGGCTGTGCAGGGCCACGCAAACACGGCGTAGAATTGGCAGTACGGGGGGTTTACGATATTAGGGGAACCTTATTGGGGTCCTTATGATAGGCGGATCCTACTATTTGGGGGGTCTTTATTGGGGGTCCCTTATTTTCGTGAACCCATGTCGGCGTGCAAGGTCTCCTCAAGTGGCTGCCCTTGCTCCACGCGGAATTTCCAGCTCCAGTGCCCAGCTAGCAAGACCCGAATCCGAAGAATCCAAAGCAGGCCGGGACCCTCGCCCGGGAGCAGCCATCACGTAGGTGACGAACTCCTGCAAGCGGGGTCGAAGACGTGAGTTCATGTGAAGCTGCCGTGACCCTCATGCCCTTTTGTGCTCCAAGGCCGACACCCAACATAGCCCCACATGCAAACATCTGGAGGAAGTTGCAGCAAAATCCGCTCAAGAGAGAAGAGAAGAGAGCTGAAGAGAGCTGAAGAGAGCTGAAGAGAGCTGAAGAGAGCTGAAGAGAGCTGAAGAGAGCTGAAGAGAGCTGAAGAGAGCTGAAGAGAGCTGAAGAGAGCTGAAGAGAGCTGAAGAGAGCTGAAGAGAGCTGAAGAGAAACAAAAAGGGGCGGCTTGGCTCGGGTCTCAGATGTTCGGAACAGCACTGAACAGCTCAGAGCTGCTTGAGACTCTGACTCGTACGACTAAGATTTAATCTTCGGGGACCCTCCTACTCTCCGGATCTCTCCGGGAGCCTCACCGACGCGCTGAAGCTTCAGCGGAGTGCTGAAGCCATCGATCGAGGTGAAAACCTTCCCAGGCGTGGTATACCCGCTGGCGCACAGAAGCGCTTCCAAAAACACACACAGCGCGGCAAGACCTGAAAAAAAATCTCAGCCGCCAGCCCAAACGTCGGAAACATCCGGCCCAGAAATACCAGGCACGTAGCAGAGCCTGCGGCGCATCGGCTCTGCGGAGCTGCGGCATGCAACTATTTGCCGCACGCGCCCCACCTGGTCTCGCGCCAGCGGTGGCAAATCCAGCAGTTGCAGTCCTTTCAGTGACGCTCTGCTTGGCGCGTGAGGGGATCGCTCCATTTGCCCTTTGACACTGGGGTTTCGGGTTTTGGGTTTAGGGTTGAGGGATTAGATGTTTGAGGCGCTTCGTATGATGCAAGGTGACCATTGTGTGATGCGTGTAGCCGCGTAGCCTCTTCCTCGATCGCCAAGGATGCCTTGCTGACCCCCTGCAACTCCTGCGAGCTCAGCGATCTCTCTGTGTCTCAGCTCTTCATCGGCCCTCACGGCAACGTCTTTTGAGCGAGTGAAGTGGTACAATCACCCTTTCATCACTTTCCCACCCAGCGCACACTCTGCTGAGACTCTCACCTACTGAAACTCAGTAGCAGGCCCGAACCCTAAACCCGAAACCCTAAACCCCTAAACCCTAAACATGGCCCGGGACTGCTATGCGGCTTGGCGAGTTCGGCGTGAGGTTCAACCAACTCTGTCACGGACTGCCAGCGCGCAGAGCAGGGATGTGGAAACGGAGCAGCGCACATGCCTACCCAGGCCTGCCCTATCCTTAACCCTAAACCCTAAACCCTAAACCCTAAACCCTAAACCCTTCTCCATGTTTGCATCTCTCCCAACTCCCGGTTCCCACATCCCACAATAAGGAGCCGGGTCGGCTCAGACATGTACAATCTTCTCATCAGCGCCGTGCTTCGCCGTGGCAAAGCCGACCCTGTTCTGTTCCCGGTCGAAGATGCTGTAGTACTTGCGCAGGAAAGGATCACCCAGAATCCACCTGCCACCGCAAATATAGGGGCCTTAATGGGAGATGATAGTATACTTATAAAGGGACGAGAAGGGAATACTTGTAGGGAAAATTATTCCGACCCCGATGTTACACTTTACACTCATCTAGTTGAACCATCGCGGGACAGCAGCGCTGACTGTAGAGACACTTGCAGCACGTGCAGCACGTGCAGCACTTCTTCAATCAGCTGATATGCGCCGAGCAGCATTCCAGGAACACCGGCCGAAACACCTCAGTCATCAGGCGGTTGTGCCTAGTTAAGGCTTTCCTCTCTTCTTGCAAAATGCTAGTCAGCAAAACTTCAAACACTCACAGACCAACGGCCACATGCAGTGCTTTGCATCGCCCACGCAGCCCCACCTTGAATGCCGAGCTCGCACTCGTCAGCGCCATTGTCATCTGCACCCCGCAGCACATAGAAGTCTGGCTCCAGGCTGAAGGCCTCTGGAGGGAAGCTAGGGTTTACGGTTTTAGGGTTTAGGGTTTAGGGTTTAGGGTTTAGGGTTTAGGGTTTAGGGTTTAGGGTTTAGGGTTTAGGGTTTAGAAGTGCATTCCCGCCTTGCCCTGGAAGGTGAACGTCAGCGTCGGGAGGGACTTAACGTTGGAGCAGTCGCTTGCCAGGTGGCCGATCGTCTGGTTGACTTTCGCAAACCTGGGAACCACCTATCACAGATTTGTGTTCATTACCTCAACCATCATCCACCACACTTTCCCGAAGTCCGAAGGCCCATCTCACTGTGACATCTAAACTTGGCTACTGAGCGTAATGTGTATGAATGCGCAATGCGTATGATGGGCCGAACGTGTCCGCTATGCTTGTATATGCTTGTATGTACTCTGCCTTGTTCAGTGGGCGCAGGTTCAATGGTGACCTGCTTGGCTTCATCTTGAGTTGTCGCTTGATCCGGAGCGGCCCAAACCTCAACCCAAAGACCTGAGGCCAAAAAGACAGCTGGAGCCTGGAACGACCCACAAAACCCTTCCGAATACGTACCTTTCTGGACGGGATATGAGCCCCAAGAGCCCGTAGCGTGGTTGAAGAGTCTGTCAATGGTCACGAACCCTTGACACGCCAATAGCATCAAACATCATCAAACTCTCCGGGCTGAGCCGGATGCTGTGGTGCCTAAGATCAGCTGAAGAGCTGCAGGGGCGGCACCGCGATAACTGAGGTGCCAGTGTCAACGACCTCAGCTGTGCAATGTTGAACACCGGCGTCTTGCGGCACGCGATTTCCCAAGCAGCTTCCGAGAACGCTCGGCTGCTGATACCTTGCACAGATTCCATGAAGGCCCGGGCCATTGGGCAGCCGATGATGGGAGTGGTGCAGGCCAAAGACTCCCCCTTCACAGCAAAGTTATCCGCCTGGCCATTTGCGAGACTGGCGCCAGGACTGGTCTTAAATGCTGGGCACCACGTCGGAGGAAGACGCTGCTTTCCGTGAAGCATGCCGATAAGCAATGGGGGTATCCCTTGCCTTTACGAGCCAGTAGCCCAGCATCTTCTGGTAGAACGTCGTTGGCACCCATGTGATCTCGCCGCCTGGCTGGCAAAATCTCGTGAGTCCTAGCACCTCGCAGCATTCTCAAGCACTCCAGGTCCTCTACAGTAGGGCTTGGCTTATGCTCCACCGCACCTGGCTCTCTTCAGGATGCCCCAGCCATCCCTTACACCCTAAACCCTAAACCCTAAACCCTAAACCCTAAACCCTAAACCCTAAACCCTAAACCCTAACCAGGCACCCTAAGGCTCCAGAGCCCAGTCGCTGAAGAGCGACTCGTCAAAGCCACCCAGGGTCAGCTTGGAGCCGTCGCAGGTCTCAGACCCGCCATGGCCACTCGGGGGCCTTCGGGTTTTGGAGCTCCCAGTCTTTAGGGGTTTAGGGTTTAGGGTTTAGGGTGTAGGGTGTAGGGTGTAGGGTTTAGGGTTTAGGGTTTAGGGTTTAGGGGTTAGGGGTTAGGGGTTTGGGGTTTAGGGTTTAGGGTTTAGGGTTTAGGGTATAGGGTATAGGGTTTAGGGTTTAGGGTTTAGGGTTTAGGGTTTAGTGGTGCTTGTTACTGGTATTAGGGCAGCCCCTTCTCTTACACTCCCCAACATCATAAGGAACCATGTGTACACTCACCACTCACAGTGATACCGACCCCCCATGGCGAATGCCGAAGCTGTGTCGAGCCTGCAGGTGGACAAGAAGAAGGAGAACATGCCCTGCTTGACCAGCTTCTTCTTCCTGCCGCGCGTGCGAAGGGTCCACGGGGCGGGTTTAGGGTTTAGGGCTTTGGGCTTAGGGTTCAGGGTTTAGGGTTTAGACCCTCGCTCCATGGGTAGGCCTTGTAAGTTCTGTGCCCTTCAATCAAACTTGGTCCGAGTGGCATCATCAAGTCAAAGGGAGGGAGCACGGGATTGTTGGGATCCACCGGCATAGCAATCTGCGGATAAGCCAGACCCAGAATGCCATCGAAAGGACTCTCCACCTCAAGAAGCCAAGGGTTAAGGGGTATGAGGAGGTACCCTCCTTACATAGTCCTAGATACCTAAGTAGCCCCTAAACAACCTCTAAGAAACCCCCAAGGTCCCTAAAAAGGGTCCCTCCTTTCCTCCCCTGAAAGGGAATGCATTCTGAATTGCCGTGCCTAACTCCAGCTTAGATGCCCAAATCTGTCCGGGCTCCAGAACGATTGAGCCCACCGTAGCATTGCTCAACTCCTTAGCATCGTGAGCTACGGGATGCAAGAGCAGCCTCAGCTTGTCCATTGCTGTAACACCTTCTGCTGGCTGGCTCTTAGTAGGGAATGGGGGGAATGAGGTACCCTATGTAATCCCTCAAAGGGCATATTAGGGCCCTATAATTCCCTCATTCCTAACTAACTAGGGTGTCGCCAAAGGTCGATGCCGCCCACATTGACATTGTCCGCAATCAGCGTGCCAGCACAAACCTGACTCAACTCAGCAGCTAATTGCCTTTGGCCATCCACTTGGCCCTGATCAGACAGTCCAGCTGATGATCCTGACATGCCAAGACACCCCTGATCCATATGGAAGGATCAGCCTGCGCCCGTCCGGATGGTACCTGGGCTGTCAGAAACTTGCGGTTTAGGGTTTAGGGTTTAGGGTTTAGGGTTTAGGGTTTAGGGTTTAGGGTTTAAGGTTTAGGGTTTAGGGTTTAGGGTTTAGGGTTTAGGGTACTCTGCTGAATCTGCCCCGAGTCCTGGAAGAGTCCTGCTAGCCCGTCTGAATCGACAAACGAGCAGAGATGCGTGCTGGACTTGCTGGAGTCATAGCGGTTGTGCTTGCTGCAGGCTTTCTTAGCAACATACGGCACATGCAACTTCAAGCTTCTAACCTCACAACTGCTGCCCTACGCTGTTCCCCCAGTTCTTTGCAACCTTCACATGAAAGGACTAGACGGCCATGGACCTCCAGTGCACCAGAAAAAACAGCACAAAAAGTGTCACAGCTTGAAGGGCCACAGCTTCTGAGATGCACTTCGCGCTCGGAACCCAGAGGTCGGAAGATCCAGTGTCATATATTACCTGAGCAGTTCGCTAAGCCAATGTGGAGATTTGAGAGGAAGCGAGCTCTTTAAGGAAGTCTTCAATGCTTCACATCTCTTCACACAAGCTACAAAAGCCCTTTCAGAACTCCTCAGGCTTGTCTGCGCAACACGCGCCGCAGTGGAAAGATCTACGTCGATTGTGCACTGGAGGGTTTCCGAAATTACGGGGTGCCGTTTTGGGGTCCTTGTTGTAAGGGGATCCTACTATTTGGGGTCTATATTAGAGAGGTTCCTTAATTTCCTAAACCTCCACTTTGATCTCCGAGACGCCGTGAACTTCTGGTCTGGCGTGCCAATAGAGACAGGCCCATAGTATTCCGAGTCCTGCTAGCAAGAAATTCCCTCCGTAGCACAGATACTGAGAACGAGAGTTTTTCATGTGATTCTAGACTGCGAATTGGAAAACAAGGAGACAAACAAGGACAAAAACAATCTCTGAATGAAGCGATGAATGTCGGGATGTTCCCCCTTGTACTTTCGTACCCCCTACTATCATCCCTATTAAGGACTGTTTGTTTTAGGGGGAACATCCCAAGACGAACCAGGTAACTGGGCCGGCCTGGTAGTCCTTGATTTGAACGTACGGCAAGACATCATCCCCTGCACTCCACGGTACACGGGGCCAGGCAGGCTTTTCAATGGGCGTAGGGTTTAGGGCCTGCACTCTCGGCCCCAAGCTGCTGCCAACGCCGGTGCAGACTCCGTATGCCCGAGGCCGTCCTGCGACTGCAAGGGCCATCTTCGACTTGAAACTTCTCATCCTATGATTCTAGGATATTCTAGGTGACATGTGGGGGCTTCCGACATTCGGGGGTACAAACGGGGTCCTTTTTGTAAGGGGATCCGACTTGTTGGGGTGGATATTAGGGGTCCCTGATTATCGTAAACCCCCATGTGGGGACATGACGTGACTCCACTGCCATCTCAGGGGAAGTCAGGAAGTAGTTCTTGCTGTCCTGGGCTTGCGAACCAGGGGCACATGGATCTCATCGGCCAGGCCACACGCCTGCCCATGTCACAATCATGCAGCTACTGACCGATCTGCAGGACGCTCAGGCTAACATCACCACTTGCAGGCCAAGACCACGGCAAAAGACAGACAGCCCAACAGATCTACGGCGGCGACCGCTCCCAGACCCACCACGCCCACGCGCCAGTAGAGCCGCCCCAACCGCGCGACGAATCGTCATGGCTGTTCACTCCCCTGAGTGTTCACACGGTCGGAGGTCGCAGAGGCACGGCTGTGGGCCGAGAACTGCGCAGCTTGGGCAAAGTGCAAGCAGAACTGATGATTCAACGGCATTTCTGGGTAGTCCCTTGTCAGATCTGGGCGGTTGCCTCGTCTTCCGGGCGACTGCTGTGTTGCATCGGCTGCCGTGGAATCTGGCCAGTCACATGAGATACTCAGGAATCTCAATGCATGTTGTCGGACTCAGCTGCCGGGCCAATGTTGATGCAGGAATGAACTTGCAGGAGCATAAGGAACCCACATCTTTCTCAAATTCCCAACCGACCGTGCACCCACCAAGTTCCCAGCCAGAAATCCCTGCGCGTCGACCGTCGCCTAGCCCGAGCAAAGCGCTCTCTCTCCGGAGTCCAAAGAAAATATTACTATTACGATTACTATTACGATTACTATTACTAGTACTATTACTATTACTACTATTGTTAACCAGTATTCTTACTATTGGCAAATCCGATGATAGCTTGGGCCACGAGTCTGTCGCAGGAGTTGCTCCAAGACGGTCCTGGCCTCGTTGCCACTGACCTGAATCACGGGTCTGTGAAGCATGACTGAAGGCAAGACTGCCAGAGGCCTCGTGCGCATTCACATCAAGGACCCAGGGTTTAGGGTTTAGGGTTTAGGGTTTTGGGTTTAGGGTTTTGGGTTTAGGGTTTAGGGTTTAGGGTTTAGGGTTTAGGGTTTAGGGTTTAGGGTTTAGGGCCCAGACCAAAGCCCCCCCAAAGCCCCACAACCCCACATAGTAGCCCCGAAAAAAAAAAAAACGGACAAGCCCCGGAAAAGCCCCCTTCTCTGTAGTTCTCCATCCTATTCCGTCCTCCACCCTCAACCCTAAACCCCTAAACCCTAAACCCTACACCCTAAACCCTAAACCCTAAACCCCTAAACCCCTAAGCCCTTAACCTGCGACTCTGCAGCCCGGGGGCATGGAGCCCGACGATACTGCGATTCTCCTTCAGGCCTTCGGCCAGATGGCGGCCTCAGGAACTGGAGGATGAAGTGGCTCAGATGCGAAAAGCATTCGTGGCTGCTTGCAGCTGTTTAGGGTTAGGGGGGCTTTAGGGGGTTTAGGGGGTTTGGGGGGTTTAGGGGACTTAGGGGGGTTTAGGGGGTTTAGGGGGTTTGGGGGGTTTTAAGGGGTTTAGGAGGTTTAGGGGGTTTAGGGGGTTCAGGGGGTTTAGGGGGTTTAGGGGGTTTTGGGGGTTCAGGATTTAGGGTTTCGCAGTTTCTGTCTTTACTGACATTTCCCCTTGCCAAGGCGCAGCACGCGAGGGAAAGGTCGCAGCGCGAGATGTCCAGGTGCCTCGTCGGGAGAGGGAAAAAATTGTAGGGTTCTTAAGGGAGGGGTTCAAGGGGGGTAGGTTCCTAGGTCCTAACAAAAACGGGTTCTTCCCGAAGGAGGATCCGAGGCCGTGAGGCAGGTTTGACCGTTTTCGGGCCCACGGAAGCCTCCCATAGTATTTTGCCACCTTGTTTTCTCCGCTTTTTTCGTAAGCGGCCTCAACCTCCGATAGCAAGGAGCGCCCCGGAAAATCCAGGGAACCAGGGGCGCTGCGGGGGGACTCTGCGGCTTTCTTGCGTTTGCACAGTTCTCTCAAGCAAATGCAAAGCCAGACCCCCTCAAGGTTGACCGTGCTGTCCTGAGCACTGTGGTCTCGCGGAAATACTTCACCAGCATCTGGCATGTATCCTGTCAAAGCATCGGGGGCGTGTTGAAAATGTTCACCGCGGCCTTGTGATCACTACCACCCACCTCCGCGCCGAACTTGCCGAGGGGATTCCAGGACAGGTTCACGTAGCGCAGCCTCCTGAAGCTCCAGTAGCATGTCTCGTGCGCCCAGTGATAATTGATTCTCTCGAGCTCTCTAGGCATCCAGCCCACCACTTTTCTCGTTGTCCATGAGGCCCTGGATCAGAGCCACTGCACCCTCTCCTGGGCAAGGGCAACAGGCGAAAGGCTATATATTTGTATATGCTACCCCCCGCCCCCCCCGCCGATGTACCTACCATTTTTCCCCTAAGTTTGTATAGTGTCTCACACACACACTCTCTCTCTCTCACACACAAGCTTCAAGGGAAGAGGGAAGGGCGCAGCAGGAGTTTGCGGCCTTTCCGAATACATTAAATAAACAGCGAATTAACTGCAATGATTAAGCAGGCTTTCTTTCTTACAGACCTCGCCAGGCAATCTATATATATGTCTGTATATATGGATATATCCGCCGACCCCAGCGGTAGCAGGGCGGCGTCAGTGAAGACCCCCCACCGCCCTCACCGCCCTCACCCGCTCTCACAGCATGCTGCTCATGACACCTTGAATTGGAGTGTTTTTGCATTGTTTGGCTTCAGTGCATGCCCAAACCCCGCCACCCATCGCCCTCACCCATGACGCCTTGAATTGGACCTTTGACCCCCCCCCCACCAGCCATCCAGGTGCCCCACCACCCCCCCACCCCCACCCCCCCCCACCCCCCCCACCCCCCCCACCCCCCCCCACCCCCCCCACCCCCCCCCCCCCCCCCCCCACCACCCCCCCCCCCCACCCCCCCCCCCCCCCCCCCCCCCCTGTAGGCCTCGCCCCTGCCCCCCCCCCTCCGTTTCTGACCAATCTCCCGCCCTGCACCACCCTCACCACCCCCACCCCCCCCCCCCCACCCACCCCCCCCCACCCCCCCCCCCACCCCCCCCCACCCCCCCCCCACCCCCCCCCACCCCCCCCACCCCCCCCCCCCCCCCCCACCCCCCCCCACCCCCCCCCCGCCACCCCCCCCCCTGTAGGCCCTGCCTGTCCCCCCCTGCCTTCCGCCCCAATGCGACTGTCTTGGGTCTGGGGTCGGCGGCACTGGCGGTAGCCATTAAATCGGGCAGCGCGAGGTCCCCAAAGGACCGAGCAAATGCGACGAATAGCCTTGCTGGCCTCTGGCCTTCTGCGAAGCAGAATTAGGCCGGACGCCAGTGCCGCCGACCCCCGCGTGCCGCCGGTGAACGGTTTTTTTTTCGTGGTTTTTTGCGTCGCCACGGAGGCCCCCAGAGGGCGCGCATCATGAGCATCAGCGGGTCCAGCCCGGGACCCCCAGGCGCGCATCAGGAGCATCAGGCAGCTCCCGGGGCGGGACCCCGGGGGCGCATCAGGAGCATGATGCCCCCCAAAGGGCGGGCATAAGACCCTAAACCCTAAACCCTAAAAAAACCCTAAACCCTAAACTATAAACCCTTGACGGATCTGCTCGCCCCGCGTTTCTGCCTGCGCTGCCCGCCCATGGGCGCAGCCCCTTAAAATATATATATATATATATATATATGTATATATATGTATATATGCTGTATATCTGACCCCCCCACCCCCCCCGCCCGCATTTTGCTGCTTTTGCGATTCCCAAGCTCCCGAACAAAGATAATGTTAAACAATATAAGTCCTGAACTCCCATTTCCGCGGACAAGGAAGGACAGCTTCTTGGACACTGGTGAATGCGCGACATCCCCGCTATTCTTGCCGACTGCATCTCACATACTGGCCTCATTTGACCTACACGAAAGTTGTTTCAAGTCCTACTGGAAGGTAGTTGGAACACTGCGTAGACGCCCGTGTGGATTCATCTGCAGATTTCCGGGATTTGCAGGATGCTTACATGTTACCAGTGCGTGCGAATGGCCAGAGCATCCATGCCGGCACGATGATTTCGTCCATGTTACCAGAGCGTGCGAATGGCCAAAGCATCCATGCCCACGATTATTACCTCCATGTTACCAGTGCGTTCAATACACAAAGAAATGCTTCCAATATTCCTCCTCAAGCCCTGAACCTTAACCTTACGCCTTCTACCCTGAACGCGGAAGTTTAACCACTAACTCTAAGCTCTTAGCCCACATGCTGAAACTCTGCATCCGAAGCCCTGAACCCGAACCTTAAGCCCTTGACCCTAAACCCTCAACCTCACTTAAATACTAACCCGAAAGTTGAGATGACCTCAAAACCCAAATCTAAACCTAAACCCTTGGACCATTAGACCAATATGCTTCCCCTCATACCAGGTCCACCGGAGAACTAGAACGGACGATTGGAGCATTTAGGGTTCAGGGGGTAGGGTTTATGGCCAAATCGTCTGTTGGTGCTTCGAAACAATCCCCTGTGCTAACAATGCACAGTGGGATAGGCATGACAGTGGGCATGTACCCATTTTTGGTCTCGGGCCCCAAACCCTAAAACCACAACCGCACCACAACACAATGGAGGGGGGGAGGGCGGAGGCCGCGGAGCATGTCACCATCCTACATATGGGGTTACGAAAATCAGGACCCCCAACATAGATCCCCATTCATAAGGACCCCACTAAGGTACCCCTAATTTCGGATAGTAATGTACCCTAAACCCTAAACCCGAAAGTCGAAAACCAACACGCCACTTGCAATCAAGTAGCCGGTGAAGTGGTTCCAGTGCAGGTCCAGCTCTTCCAGATAGTTGAAACCTGCAACCCTAAACCCTAAACCCTAAACCCTAAACCCTAAACTGCAGCAGCACAGGTTCCAAGATCTGGACTCTCAATACGGCACTTTATGTGGCAAACTCGCAGCCGAGCCCAAAGCCCCGACGTTCACTCACAAGAAATTTCGTGCGTAACTTCGCGCAGCCCTGAAGCGCAAGCCTAAAGCTGAGAGAAAACCCTAAACCCTAAACCCTCAACCCTCAACCCTAAACCCTAAACCCTAAACCCTAAACCCTAAACCCTAAACCCTAAGCTCCGAGACCCCGACGCTTCAGCAGCGGCTGGAAGGCAGCGCCAACGCTTATTGCATTGCAGCTGATGTCGATCCTGGAGTGCAGGCTTGAAGGAAAGCCATGGACTATAACAAAAAAAGGGTTTAGGGTTTAGGGCTTAGGGTTTAGGGTTTCGGGTTTAGGGTTTAGGGTTTAGGGTTTAGGGTTTAGGGTTTAGGGTTTAGGGTTTAGGGTTTAAAAAAGACGGCACCCTCACCTGGTGAGAGACCGACAGCGAACCAGGTCGTTCAGGAGCTCCAAGCACGTATCTCGGCATCTTGGGCAGGGCACTGTGCCCGAGCTGCGTTGGCCGAGAGTTGTCCCTCTTCAGTCCCTCCGAAACTGCTTTCTTGGGAGTCTTTTTGCTTGCGCATGCGTCTGCTGACTTCGGCTACCAAGTCAAGGACTAAGCAAGCCAGCAATTTTGAGATTGCCAAGCGGCTGTCTGTGATCCGGCACTCGGAAAGGGTCAGACCTAAAAATGCATGACAGCCTAACTACCAGAGTGCTGATGCCGTGACAACTGGCAACCCTGGTAGCAGTGCTCGCGCTACTGTGTCACTGGTGAATCAGCGAGCATGGCATTCTCAGCAGACTGTCCAGACAATTGCAGCCAACGTGATTGGGCCCGGACTCTTCAGCTTCGTCAGCCGGCGGAAAGCACGACACCAGCCTGCGCAAAGCATCCCAAATTTGCACACTTGGTGTTCCGCATCCGTTGCTGCATCAGTTCGCAGTTCCCAGTCACAGCTCAAGGTCGTTTAGGAGGTTCCAGGTTGGGAGCTGCACCGTACCATACCGTACCCGGAGAGTTACCAGCCAACCACTGCGATGACATTGTTCAACCAGTGAAACTGGTCTACGTATTCATGTCGGTGAGATTTCGGTTTGGAGCTTCCCTGAGGCCTGTGACCTGTAGCAGAAGGATTGAAGACTGAATGCCTTAAGCAACCCCCTGGCGGCCTGTGCCGTGATCCAAGTCGTTTTGGGACAAGTCCACGCTCTCCAACTGCCACAGGTTCGAAGGTGTACACGGCGCACGCTTTCACGAGAGATGGCCCTAAACCCTAAACCCTAAACCCTAAACCCTAAACCCTAAACCCTAAACCCTAAACCCTAAACCCCTGGGAATCAGTGACCCAGTGGGATGGGCCCTGAACCCGGAAAGGCCCCTGCGGGTGCCTCGGAGGGCAGGGCTTCCAACAGCTGCCTTGGAGAGCCCCAAGACGTTCAAGAAGCGCCCTCTCTGCGAGTTTTTGTTTGTCACATCTCGCAACATTATGCGTGTATATATATATATGTAGATGTACTTATTTATCCACTTACTTGTTTATGTAATATTATTTATATATATATATATAGAAATATATAAGATTGGTTAGTCTCTAATATTCATATATACATACACTCTCACGACTCAGCAGAGGAGCCCAGCTCCGAAGTCGCTGAGGCCGTTCGCACGGAAGCGAGCCTCTCTCGAGCTTAGATACTCTCAACGCTGAGGCTCGCGGGGTTTAGGGTTTAGGGTTTAGGGTTTAGGGTTTAGGGTTTAGGGTTTAGGGTTTAGGGGTTAGGGTTTATAGGGTTTAGGGGATAATTTCCTAAATTAGGGCCCCTTTTTTGGGCACCCATTACAGGGATCCCAACAAGAGACCCTAGTTTAGAGAACTGCCCTGTGTCGGTGCACTCAAGCCGGTCTTTCACCGTGCCTCGCGAACATCTTCCGATGACGCCTGCTCCGAAAGAAACAGGGTTTTACGGAAAAAACAGGGACAGCTGCACGGTTCAGGGCTTAGGGTTTAAGGTTTACGGTTTAGGGTTTAGGGTTTAGGGTTTAGGGTATTTGGCAACAAATAGACGGCTTGCGAATGACTTCTTGGAACGAGGACACCTCTGTGCTTCTGCGTCGAGCCTTCAAGGTATCATTCATGGCTTCAGCACGCTCATCTGTCAGGAATCCGTACCTGGGGGCTTCCGCAATCAGCTCCCTCCCTAAATCTCAAAGGATCCTGAGTTCTTAAGCAAAATAATGCCCTTCACGGCTGAAAACAACAAGTCGCCGCGAGATATCACAAGCTCATGCCCTGGCGCGGCACTCCAGCTGCAACTTCTCCGCACCATCGGCCCGGACGATGCCAGTAGTTGCCGGATGCAGCCTGTGGCGCGTACAGCTGATGCCATTGAGCGGACAAGCTCTTAGTGAGGGTTTAGGGTTTGGGGTTTAGGGTTTAGGGTTTAGGACTTAGGGTTTAGGGTTTAGGGTTTAGGGTTTAGGGTTTAGGGTTCACGGGATCTGAGTGGGCGTTTCACCACCTAAACGGTGAAATGCCACTCCCATCCACTCTCTGCCTGACTCGACGACACTGGTTCACCAAGTCCTGCATCGCCCTGTCGTGCCTGCCACGCGGGCAACTAAGTGCGGGCTAAGCCAAAGAGACATAATATGGGAGTTTCCGAAATTCGGGGATACCTTATTGGGGGGTGCCTATCACAAGGGAATCCTCCTGCTACTTGGGGATCTGCTTTAAAGGCCTAAACCCTAAACCCTAAACCCTAAACCCTAAACCCATATTGCACAGTGCATGCAGGGGCGCCGGCCTGTCCAATTGCTTGAGAGGTGCTGGTATCTGTCAGGGTGGCCAGATGTCGCAAAAGGATGCCCAAATCTGCTTTCTACCAACAGATGTTTAGGGTTTAGGGTTAGGGTTTAGGGTTTAGGGTTTAGGGTTTAGGGTTTGGAGTTTAGGGTTTAGGGTTTGTGGCAAACAGCATACCAAGGCAGCTGTAGGGCTGGAAAGCAGAAACTGGCTGTCACATTTCCTGCAAGCTTCTGAAGTAGAATGGTGCCTCAGTCATGCCGTCCACGAGGGTTATCGACTTCTGCACCCAGTCCTGCAAGCTTGGGAACGCTGCACCAAGCCATACCAAGCCTAAAAGATGTGAGCTGAAGATCAGCTGCTGGGTCCGATTGGGTCCTGCGCGTCGGTGATGTTGGTGGTGGTGATCCTAGCGCCCGCCAGGATGCGACGGGCACGTCAGATCAAGTCACTGACACGCCCACTTGCTCGCTGCGCTGTCTCTCGCAGTATCAACCCTAAACCCTAAACCCTAAATCCTAAACCCTAAACCCTGAACCCTAAACCCTAAACCCGCAGCTCTTCGAAAGTTGTGCCGTTCCTGCCTTGTGGGAACCGGCTCAGGTAGGCGCGGGGAGCCCGGCAGACGGACCTGCAAAGATGGGGCGTGGACCGATGACGAATACTTGGGATAATCCCAAACCCCGCCCCTAATATGAAAAACCCCAATATAGCATAATCTAACTAGAGAGGGGTATTTAATAGTAGGGGCTACGGGGGGTTTAATATTAGGGGGAGGGTACTTGGGCACGCACTTAGGGACACTTCGGGCTACTTCGGGGGTTTTGGGGCGTTCCCCCTTGTACTAACAGTCATTGATAGGGATTACCGTACCCCCTATTATGGTCCCCATTGAGGACTGTTCTGAGTATAAGGGGAACATCCCACTCGGGGTACTTACAGGACTCGAAATTCGAAAGGTTCCGAAAGCGTCGGTTGAGAAGGCCTCTTGGACTTTGGCCGCCACAGCAGCAAGCTTTGACTCGCGGGTTCTGACCGGCGGGAGGCCCCTCGTGACGCGCCTCACGAGCTTCAAGTGCAAAAAACGTTCACCAAACTTTGCCTGAATCTGACTTCTCGCAGCACTTCCCCACCACTTTCGAAGAAAACCGTAACCCTAAACCCTAAACCCCTTGTTGCCTCGGGAACTCCACCGACCGGTCTGCCCGCAGGCAACTGTCGAAGAACTGCGCCTTTCAGAAGCCGGAGAGCATTAATCATACAAATATTCTTAATAATATTCATATTAATACTACGATTACGATGAACATTGATACTAAAAAGTTTATTCATATTAATATGAATTTTAGTATGATTCTCAATAATAAGAATGATGATGATAAATATAATACTTACTTGTCCTCGAACATCCCCACCCCCTCTTGATAGAGATACTCTGGGGTTGGGCACTCCAGGGAGACTCTGGGGCTGGGCACTCCGGGGACACTCTGGGGTTGGGCAGTCAAGGGAGACTCTGGGGTGAGACACTCTGGGGTTGGGCACTCCAGGTGGAGTTGGGGCACTCCAGGGACACTTTGGGGTTGGGCACTCCAGGGATGAGCGAGGAGTAGACTGGGCGAGAAGAAGCTTCCCGGGCGAGGAGAAGAGTTGAGAGGGCGGGGAATAATGATAATAATAGTAATAATAGTACTGTAGTAATAGCAAAAATAATGGTAGTAGTCGTAGTAGTAGTAGTAGTAGTAGTAGTAGTCGTAGTCGTAGTCGTAGTCGTAGTCGTAGTCGTAGTAGTAGTAGTAGTAGTAGTAGTAGTAGTAGTAGTAGTAGTAGTAGTAGCAGTAGCAGTAGTAGTAGTAGTAGTAGTAGTAGTAGTAGTAGGAGTAGCAGTAGCAGTAGCAGTAGCAGTAGCAGTAGCAGTAGCAGTAGTAGTAGCAATCGATGCATGTCGTGATAGTACTGGCGGTCAGGGGCCACACCATGGGTCTGGGACAGGTCAAAGCCCCTGAGAACTGAAGGGAACGAAAGCAAAAACGCTTGCAATTCCATGCTTGCCCAACCCGCATCTGGAGCGTCAAGATTTTTTGTGATGCTTTGGGGCTTGAAAGCCTGGAAAGCTGTGAAAACTGCCATGAACCCGGGAACCACGGCTTTGGAACTGCGGAGCAGAGTCCTGGAAGAGGACTACAACCACAAGCTACATGACTGTTTCGGAACCTGAAATCACTAGGCCGTTTTTTCTAACTTTCCATGGCTTGCCCGGCGCCCTTCGCGGACCCTTCTTTCAACATGCCATAAAAGCATTGAAAAAAACACACATAGGGTTCTTCAGGGAGGGGGGTTCAAGGGGCCCTAAACCCTAAACCCTAAACCCGAAACTCTAAACCCTAAACAGAACGACGGGCCTTCCGGAGGCCGAGGCCCATGTCGACAGGCCTGGCGATGGAAATCAAGAGGGTTCGGCTTGGCTTGTTTGGGTTGGGATGTTCCCACTTCTACTAACAATCCTTAGTAGGAATGTTAGTATAAGGGGGAGCATCCCAATTTTCGGGAATTAAGAGCGCTCATTTGTGGGCAGGTCCCATGGCATTGCAAGCGCGGACTTTGCCGCAACCAACGTGCCGTTCATCGCCAACGACTCTGCCTTTATCGAGCTCTGCCACGATGCGGCCACACATATTTGGATGTTGATGCCATTGCTCAACCCCCATCGGGTTTCCCCGGCGGCGCCATATCCGCGCTCTCTCCGTCGAACAGGCTGCAGACTTTGTAGACATACCATGTAGACACATTGTAGACTGAGCCGCTGCGCTTCGCGACCGAGGGCCTTGCAAGAATGCCAACGAAGGCCAAGCTAGGAGCAAGTGCCGACTTCGGCCAGACCATCCATTGTCCAGGGACGGAACCATCTTGGCCCCGGAAATCTGGGACTGTGAGCAGTGCATAGTAGAGCAGAGGGCCTGGCAGAGCGCCCTTCGCCAAACCAGTGCGCCAAGCGCCATCTTGAGCGAGGCCATCAAGTCTTCTTGCTCAAGAGTTGCTTTCGCGAGCGCCGCGCTTCAGCGAGATGTAGAAAACCTTGCGGCGTGGCACACCCACAAGTAGCTACATGATCCGAAACAAAGGAGTTACAGGACTTACGAAGACGTACCAGGAGCATTCGTGTTGCAGGTAGCATCGCAAATTGAGCCCCACTTCGTGAGTTCTACCATTACCAATAGGGGCTTAGGTTTTGGGGGTTTAGGGTTTAGGGTTTAGGGTTTAGGGTTTAGGGTTTAGGGTTTAGGGTTTAGGGTTTAGGGTTTAGGGTTTAGGGTTTAGGGTTTAGGGACAGAGGATGGAGGCCAGCGGCCCAGATTAAGCCAATCGAAGAGAGGAATGGGACCCGCCAAATGGCCGGCAGCGCCTCAAGTGCTAACAGGACATGTGTGTACATGGGGGTTGAGGGTTTAGGGTTTAGGGTTTAGGGTTTAGGATTTAGGGTGTGTACATGGGGGGGGGTCTCCGAGAAAAGGGTCCCCCGAAATAGTAAGATTCCTAGATAAGGTACACCAAAATTCGGGAACCCCCACATGGCTTCTAGAAACGCCGGGCTTCAGATCTGGGACTTTGTGGGGCTGTAGAGCTTTAGGGCTTGGGGTTTAGGATTCAGGGTTTAGGGTTTAGTAATAGGGTGGAAGACTGCGAAAGCCTTGCATCCACACTGCGCATGAAAGCACTGCAAACTTGCTCAGAATCTCAACAGCCGAGTCGCAGTGAACATGACCTCAGATTCATTGCTTAGTGCCACTTAAGCGTGCCCCCCAATCGGCCTGCCCAACTGGCATAGCATGTTGAGGTGGTATAGGTTGTAAGCAGATACCAATGCAGCGAGGGCTGATACTGCAGTCACCTTTCTGCATGCTGCTGTGCGGCGATGTCGGAAGTAATCAGCAACGGCGCAGCTGCCCTGAGATGGGCCGCGCACGAAAACGAGCGGGTGCTGAGACGATCCCGACCCCTTGCTGTGTTCGTCAGCAGGCTTGAGGTTTGGGGCGTTGAGGGATGTTGCTGGTTTCTGGATGAAACGGAGTGTTTCTGTTTGGGGAAACTTCGAAAGCCTGAATGTCGGGCCTAGTTGGGCCGAGCTCGAACACAAGCTGTTGCGGGTCAAAGAAGCGCCCCCCCCTCGACACCGCCCCTCAACAGCTCTCAATTGACAATGTGGAGATTTAGGAAACAAAGGGACCTCTGATATAGTCCCCCAAATAGTAGGATTCCCTTTATTTTAAGGAAATTCAAGAAGGTGCTCTGAATTTCGGAAAGCCCCCAAGGCATGAAGGGCCCCACCGGAGGCTGCGTCGAGACCGGCCAAAAGTCAAAAAGCACAACACACGAGAAAAACGAAACGTCTGGAAACGCACAAACCTTAAAAAAAAACGAGGAAAACGCAAAACGTCGCGAACGCACAAAACAGGAAAAATGAAAACAAAAAAACGTGGGACCCTTTTAATGTAGATTTCTTGGCTTTGCAGGACCCTTTACATGTATCTTCTCTGCAGGGGGGGGTTCTTTGCGTGGGAAGGGAGCAGAATGACGATTAAAACCAAACACGAAAAAGGCAAAACAAAAGCCCTTCAGCGCTGTTCGCGCTTTTCTGCGTTGTTCATGTTTTCTTCTCGCTTTTTCCACGCGTGCTTTTTCTCGCTTTTTCGCATTTGCAAACCGCCGAAGTGACCTAGAGCTCCGACGGAACGCTTCCTCGCGACAACGGTGTAGCAAAACCCTAAACCCTAAACCCTAAAACCCCAAACCCTAAACCCTAAACCCTCAACCCTCAACCCTAAACCCTAAACCCTAAACCCTAAACCCTAGCAGAAGAGAGCAAGCAGAAAGCCTCATGTCCACCAGCACGTGCTCCGACCAGTAGACAAAGGAAGCGGCTGCTAAAGATCCGCAGCTGCCGTGCCTGACATGCACAGAAAGGGTTTAGGGTTTAGGGTTTAGGGTTTAGGGTTTAGGGTTTAGGGTTTAGGGTTTAGGGTTTAGGGTTTAGGGTTTAGGGTTTAGGGTTTAGGGGTTAGGGTTTAGGGTTTAGGGTTTAGGGTTTAGGGTTTAGGGTTTAGGGTTTAGGGTTAGGGTTTAGGGTTTAGGGTTTAGGGAGAAGTGTTGCAATGGGCAAGCGTGTTGAAAGTTGAAAGTGGTTCACAGTTCAGAGCGCAATCTCGAGCCGTTCACCAGAAGAAATCCCGCAATCGCCCGAAAGCCTAGAGTTTCTATCCTTAATCCCTGTTCCCCTAGGAAGAAAAAAGGACCCTCTTTGCTTATATATAAGAAAGCCCATAACCCAAAAAGTAAAAAGGATCCCTAACACTGATTTTGTATCGGCCTGTTGTAGATTGCTTCCCGGAAAGTGTAGAAGCACGGCAAGTAGACAAGAGGCATGAAGATGAGAGCGTCCTAGCCGTGCATGCTCTGGGCGAGAAAGCTGGGGCCACTCGTCATAAAGCACTTTAAGGTTAGATATGGGGGTTTCCGAATATAGGGGTGCCCTTTCTGGGGGTCCCTTAAAGGGACTCTATACAATTTGGGGTATACCCCAGTTTGGCAACAACCATATGGGGATCCTCGGTGTTTTTCTCTTTTTCTTTGTGGCTGTCCTTCTCCAGCAGGCGCTTGCCTTTCGGGCCATTGGGTCTTTCACAGTTGCTTGCCTCTTTCTGCCAATACATGGTTGCATTGTCCTGGGTATTTCAGGCTAGGCTTTTTCTGACGTGGAAATGGGCATGCTTCTTGCGGTCATTCTCTGGACATTTAGTTCCTTTGCGACATGCCTCTTTCTCTGTGTTCTGTATGTCCTTGGTTCCACACGTAGAGGTAATTGCAACGCTTTTTGCCCAGCAAGGACAGCGACTAATCTTTGAGGTTACTCTTTCGCAGCCAAAGAAAAAGGTTGTTGGGCATTGGGCACTGGCAAAGCTTGAAGCAGCTTGAGCACGCAAAGAAGCCCGACGACCAAAAAGACCTAGATCCACGTTCATGACGAGTTCAGAACATGATAACATCAAAAAATCGGCTTCGAGGTATTGGACCGTCTCAGAGCTCCAAGTTTCCACCCCGATCATGGCAGCCACCATCCACCGGCCTTCCTCGGGTGCCACAAGGTCATACAGCCTACCGAAGTTGTACGCTTTCGTGACGTTGTAGCAAAACAGTGCAACAGATGTATGATTGCCCGACGCAGACCACTGGATTCCCTTGCTTCGTCACTCCCATGAAGACTCGGCACAGCAAGCTTGACCAGCACGCGGCTCGGAAACTCTGCCTGGAAATGTTTAGGCTTTGGGGTTTAGGGTTTAGGGTTTAGGGTTCAGGGTTCAGGGTTTAGGGTTTAGGGTTTAGGGTTTAGGGTTTAGGGTTTAGGGTTTAGGGTTTAGGGTTTAGGGTTTGGGGTTTGGGGTTTAGGGTTTAGGGTTTAGGGTTTAGGGTTTAGGGCTTGAATCCGTCCAGCGCACACAAGAGGGCCCGTTGCAACGTTGCAAGTGAAGGATCCGAAGGCTTGGCTAAGGCTGAGCCAAGGTGCGTAGAAAAGGTAGGCGGGAGCACCCATCGTCGCCCCGAAGGAACCAAAGAGACAGGTTCGCCTCCAGTCGTGCTTCTCCTTCAGAGATGTGACGATCGGCAAGCTATTATTTCCAACTAGAGAACGATACGACAACACGGTCTTCTGAAACATCATCCATCATCTCAAACATCATCTCCCGCAGCATCTCACGGTCGCAACACGCGCACATCTGCCAGCGATGTGGCACACGCGGTTCACCTGGAAGCAGAGAACAACGGGCACGCATGAGGGCCGAGGGTCCAGCTCAGCTGGTCGTCACGCAAACGGTGTAGGAGGCTACAAGCAGAGAAGAAAACCCACTGCAGGTGGTTCTTTTGGTGTGTCTCAAAGTGTCGCGGACTCCCCACGACACGCCGCGAACACCGAGAGGGCTGTCGGTTGCGCGTACAATTTCGAGGACGCCCCCACTGGGGGCGTCTGGGAAATGTTGCCTGAGCTGAAGTGCTTGGGTTTGGGATAGCACTCAACACTGAGGTTAAGTCGGGGAAACAGGTGTCTGTGGCGCGTTGTCTTGCTACTTCGTTGAGCAAGACGGAAGTCAAAACACCAAAACATCTGAAATCACCCAGATCATTCTCGGTCTCAGCAGCATTCAAAACCGAAAAAACGCAAAATAAAACCAATCATTGAAAAGAACATGTGTTTGCCTAGGTGCTGTGGCACACACTCTGCCCTCTCACCTAAAGCTACCTAGAATTCGCAAGACCAAACACAGAAACGACAAAAAGCAATGTGTCAACAGCACCTTCAAAAAACGGGTTTCAAAATGAGAAGATGTGGAGAAAAAGCAAGCGGCCAGGGGAATGCTAGGCTGCAGGATGTTTCCGAACCGAAAAACAAAATATCCATGTCCGACAAAGCCCTTGGGCAAGCCAACAGCCCCCAGCGTCAGGACCCCCTGCGGGCACCGAAACCGTCGTCGCTTGCGCCTGCAGAGTTTCGAGGACTCCACACGCGGCGGCATCACGACGCCCCGCGTCCACCGAAGGGGTTGCGGTTCACGCCCAGTATGTGGCAGCGTCACGACACCCCGCGGACACCATGAGGGTTGTCGGGCTCGCGCCCAGAATTTCGAGGACGCCGCCACGCCTACGCAATTCTCAGGAGGCGCGGCGGGTGCCGCAAACCCCCACGCTTTAGAACATATGAACTACAGAAACAGACCTACCAGCGCCGCGACATCCATCCCCGCACCTTCTCGAACACCACCTCCGCTGAAAACCCTTCGCCGGGCGCTCGGGAAAAAACACCAACACTAACAAGATTACAATAAGAAGAAGAATAGAACAACAATAACACAATCACTGTCTTGCTTCAGGTCCCAAAATGTAAGCAACGCGCAAGAACCAGCAGCTTTTGCACTGCTCTGCTGCTGCATCGTTGGGAAAAAAGACGCACTTGATCTACATTGATGACTGGATCCTCCAGCCGATCAAGCTTAGCTCCTCGTGGAACTCTTGCAGTCTGGCACTGCATCAATCGGTCCCCTTCCCCAACTTCCACGCTACCCTGTCTACTCTTCTGATTCCGGGTCATGAGCCACGAGCAAGTCTTTCGAAAACACTCCTTCATCCAGAGCATCTGGCTGACATAATGGAGCATGGCTGCAAAGCGCCACTGGCCCATCATCATGATGATGTGCACTGGACATCCAGACTTTGCCAGATCCATTGCTGTGCCTGCTCGGAAGGCCGTGAAGCCAAGCCTTTCTGACCCAGGAATCTTCAACAAGCTCAGCAGGTCCCTGAAGCGTTTGAGAAGCTGCGGAGCTGTCTTGTTGAACAGTGCCTGGCCCGGAGCTGTTTGCTGCACGCGTCGGTGAATCCTGTGAGAAACACAGAAGCGATCAGGCTCGCGTCCTCGGACACATAATCTATCAGGCTCGCGTCCTCGGCACGTGCACGGCCGTGTCACGACAGATCCTTTGGGCTTGTGCTTTCGTTTCCGAAGCGCTCTTGCTCAACAAGCTGCAACAGAATGTCCATGTGGGTCAAGACGCTTTGCCACGAAAGTTGTGACGTGGCAACTGCAACTACGGTGTAGCGTAAAAAAACACCACACCACTGGGAAGACGTCCGAAAGAACCTTGGTGAAGCAATTGCACTTTTCAACGCTTTCCCCCAGTCATTCAGCGAAGCAATCGGGACATGGCCTTGCAAAGGCCGCATCTGGAACTTCCCCCCCCGATCAAGTCTGGTGTGAGCCACATCGGCAACGTCTCTTTTGCTGTTAGGTCAACCTACAGAAAAGGCGTGCGGGAGGATGACTTACTGTCCTCTGTATGCTGCTGCACGCTGTTCCACAATGCCTGCTCGGCTTCCAAGCTGAAAGAAAAGCTGTCTAACCTGGCATTTTGAAGTAAAGATGCCACGTCTGCTGTTGTGGATGGCACCAGCAGTTTAGCCAAGCTCTGCGCCGACGTCGCTGGCATACTTGCTGCTGTTGTTGCGGCTCCACTGGCCTGAACCATCCTCCGTGCCTGAGCAATAGACTCAACAGCTCGCAGCACCCTCTCAATGCATGCTTGCACTGGCAGCTCGTTTGGCAACTGCATGGCAATCTGATCCTCCGAGTACCCCTCTGCTAGGGATGGATGAGCCACCTGCAGTCTGTCTTCGAACCATGTGATAGTGGCATTGGCCACTGCATCAGCAGGAGACGGATTCTCAACCTTTTTTCAAGAATTCCTCCCAGGATTGCGTCATGGCTCTGGAACCCCCAGCTCAAAAATGAGTCAAAGGGATTTGAGACAGAACTTGAGCCAAAATGGCTACGGACAACCATAGTATGAGTCACAATACAAGTAGGAGTAGTAATGCACATCACCTCCCGTACTAAAGGAGAGACTCGGAGACCATGGAGTCAAGGCAGCCTGAGGCTGCTCCAGGACCCGTTGTGTGATGCAATCGCCCACAATGTAGCGTGCGGCCAATGAGCCTGGGAGTTGCCAAGAGGGTTTGGGGTTTAGGGTTTAGGGTTTAGGGTGAAGACTTCGACCCTACCTCCACCCTAGTGAGGCCATTGAGCTACGATCAGGCTGCTGCTGTCCGCATCATGAGTCCTCACCCTGCTTTCGTCTGGGAGCCACTGGCATATGCCAAACCGCGCCAGGTCGGGGCCATGGTGACGTCTATCAACCCTAAACCCTAAACCCTAAACCCTAAACCGTCTAGTCCACGTGAGACATGCGAGGGCCGCGGTTTTCCGAGAACATGCTTCCGCTGCTTTCTTGAGCCATGGGAAGGAAGCTGCGCTTCGGTCGAGTCCTCGATGGAGTCCACCCACACACAATCGGAACTCTTGGGAATAATAATAAGAAGAAGAATAATAAGAATAATAAGAATAATAAGAATAATAAGAATAATAAGAATAATAAGAATAATAAGAATAATAAGAATAATAGGAATAATAAGAATAATAAGAATAATAAGAATAATAAGAATAATAAGAATAATAAGAATAATAAGAATAATAAGAATAATAAGAATAATAAGAATAATAAGAATAATAAGAATAATACTAATAATACTAATAATAATACTAATAATAATAATAAGCATAATAGACTAATAAAACTAATAATAACCAGAAGAAGACCTCTCAACCCTCAAGCCCTCCAGCTCTCAGAGCCTTAGCCCCGTCGCAGGGGGAAGCGCGCCAGCTCGGCTCATCGTCGCTTGCCTCCGCTCGCTCCGCATCCTCATACCTCTCGAACCTGCCCAGATTCGGACAGCAAAATGTCCCTGAGCGCGTTTACACTGCAGAGTCGGCAGCTTTCGGACTCATGTGAAGTAGGTTGTGTAATATCAAAAAGGAACCTTATATACACAAGAAAGGAACCTCATATAATAATAATCATCATCATAACAATAATAATAAAGGAATAATCATGATATTAATAACAGCAATATAAACCCTGCTTCATGTCAGCAGCCAGCTGTGGCTTCCCTTCGCGCCTCTTGACCGCCTCGTCGAAAAGGTCCGGGGGTTTCAGGCCTGGACCGACTTCATCTGCCCCTTTGGGGACTAAACAGCTACTAGAATCCCTAAACCCTAAACCCTAAACCCTAAACCCTAAGGTTAGTGCACTGGACTCGCACGAGCGCACCGGGATGTAGCTTCAGAAACATCGAGACCCTGTGCAAGGATGCACGTGCCAAAGCAGGAAAAAGCAAACCACCCCGTGTCATACATGTGATTGTGGAGCTCTCATACATTCTAACGGTACAAAATCCATACCACACACCAAGACACGAAATCATGCCAAAAAACACAGCGGGAGAACGATTCGAGACGCAGCGACAGCCAAGAGCCCTCCAGGCCCAAAAGCTCTCTGGCATTCTTCTAGCATGTCAAGTGACAACACACATGGGAGAAAACTATGCCAAAGGCCTTAGCACTTGCAACGAGTTTGACCAAAGGCAAGAGCGCCCCAGGCACTCGGAAAGACCGAAAGAGTTGCATGATGGTGCGTGGGGAACACCGGAACTGGAGCAAAGACTTTGCCAAAACACCTCAAAACATGTCTGGGTTGAAGCCTGAAGGCTGTCTGAAGGGCTTTGGGTTTTAGGTTTTAGGTTTTACGTTTTAGGGTTTAGGGTTTAGGGCTTAGGGTTTAGGGTTTAGGGTTTTAGGGTTTAGGGTTTAGGGTTTAGGGTTTAGGGTTTAGGGTTTTTAGGGTTTAGGGTTTAGGGTTTAGGGTTTAGGTTTAGGGTTTAGGGTTTAGGGTTTAGGGTTTAGGGTTTAGGGTTTAGGGTTTAGGGTTTAGGGTTTAGGGTTTAGGGTTAGGGTTTAGGGTTTAGGGCAACTAATTTTGGCATCCTGGGCTCGGGGCGGTGGCGGCGCTGCAGAAATCTGTTCCAGCCCACTTCTCCTAGGACACCGTCAGTGGGCTTAGGAAATGAGGGGGTGCCTTCTTGGGATCCCTAACTATACGGGTTTAGGGTTTAGGGTTGAGGGTTTAGGGTTGAGGGTTGAGGGTTGAGGGTTTAGGGTTTAGGGTTTAGGGTTTAGGGTTTAGGGTTCAGGGTTCAGGGTTCAGGGTGCAGGGTTCAGGGTTCAGGGTTCAGGGTTCAGGGTTCAGGGTTCAGGGTTCAGGGTTCAGGGTTTAGGGTTTAGGGTTTAGGGTTTAGGGTTTAGGGTTTAGGGTTTAGGGTTTAGGGTTTAGGGTTTAGGGTTTAGGGTTTAGGGTTTAGGGTTTAGGGTTTAGGGTTTAGGGTTTAGGGTTTAGGGTTTAGGGTTTAGGGTTTAGGGTTTAGGGTTTAGGGTTTAGGGTTTAGGGTTTAGGGTTTAGGGTTTAGGGTTTAGGGTTTAGGGTTTAGGGTTTAGGGTTTAGGGCAATATGGGGGTTTACGAAATTAAGGTACCCTATTCGGGTTCTTGTTATTAGGGAGTCCAGCTATTTGGGGGCTATTTTGGGAGTTCCCTATTTTCGCAAACCCGAATCAAGTTCGACGCATGGGGCCATGGGGGAGCCGGACCATGAGGGCGGAGCGGGCTGAGGCAGCGGGGGGAGTGGGGGGAGCGGGGCAAGCGGGCGTGCACCGGAGCCCTCAAAACTGAGCTAAGGGATGGGGCCGTGGGACCATGAGGCCGTGGGACCATGTGGGGCCAGGAGGCCATGCGGCCATAGGGGGGCATGGGGATATAGGGGCTTCGGTGAAGGATCGCGCCTTGATTGCTGTCGTATCCAGCCCTCTGCCTGCCAAGATGACGATTGCGGGGTTTAGGGTTCAGGGTTCAGGCTTTAGGATTTCGGGTTTAGGGTTTGCGGTTTAGGCAATTCTCAGCAAACCTCTTCTGCCTGGCTCTCAATGTTCAAAGCGATTCAAAATTCTCAGCCCGGTAATGTCTGATCAGCCTGACACTGCTTAAGCAGCCAAGGCTTCTGGAAGTGTAGGCAAATTTTCTAAAGCTGTGTACAACATTGGCGTTTGGCTTGCTCAGGTTGTGTTTAGGACGCAAGTGACACAAGACCTGTGGGCGACAAACGAGTCCAGGGGCTGTGTGAAGGCTCTGAGGCTTCAGGCTTTGGGTCTACCCCTGTTCTCACCCTTCAGAAGCTTAGGGCTCAGCTTTAGTTTGAAAATGCAGATGCCCTGTGAGGGCATCGCGCAGACACTCCTCGGGGCGCTTCTACCTTTGCCGGATCTTCGGCATGGATGTCATGCGAAGCAGAGTACATGTTGAGAGTACATTCTGAGTGACGGCCGCTTTTTCGCTTGCGCCTATCATTCCCAAGTCTGACTGGTGTGGCACTTGCCGAACCCTCAAAGACATCTTGAGTCCTAAGCCCTAAACCCTAAACCCTAAACCCTAAACCATCGTGCCTCTGGCGAGGACTCGCCATGACTCCTGGCAGCTCACGGGGCATGTGTCGTTGTCATGCCGCGTGACCGCGTGGCCGCGCGTAAGTTGTACTATGGTGTGCATCCGGGAACGGCATCTCGCCTTCGTGCAGAGATGGAGTATCTTCTTGCTGCACGACCAACAGTTCCTACCCTTTCCATCTCAAAGTTTGCCTGCTTCACGCCATGGCAGGCGCAGGCATGCACGTGATTTTGCGGACGGTCATGGCACTCTCTTTGGGGGTTGGGGAGGGCTTTGGCGTTACTGATACAAAAACAGCGGCCTATCTGTTCTTCTGCATAGGCCCTGCCAGCATGCCATAATTGGGGCACATCCATGAATCTGAAGCTGATGGCAGCTGTTGCAGCAGGTATGACACGCACACGTTTGCATGCTCACAAACAGATACTTCAAAACAGATACTTCGACTCCGACTCCTTTTTAGCTCTCGACGAGCGGATCCAGGATTGCCAAAGCGATCAGCAGTGCCTCCTCTGTGCCTCAGCTGAGATATGCAAAGGGATACGCAAAAGGGAAAATGCAAAAGGGAAGTATGCGCTCGCAGATGCGAGTGTCGAAATGTACTCGATGGCTCCAATTGCTCTGAGACCATGCAACCCGTTGCTGCAACCCCCTCAAGCAAACATGGAAATGGCCGAGCGTCGAATTGTCCGAGACTTCTGACGTGGGCATACATTGACATATCGGCCGAACAGAGAGGCCGGGTCTGTGTCGGCCTTGTAGCCACTCTTTGCGTCAGCTAGTACCTGCGCAGGCTTTGCTCACATTGTTGATCTGCCCGAACCCCTAAACCTTAAACCCCTAAACCTTAAACCCTAAACCCTGAACCCTAGTTGAAACTATAAGCGGCCTCTTCAAATCCGCCCAGGCCACCAAAGGCCAGTAGCAAATGCCTGGGAGGTAGAAGCAGGGCATAGCTAGGCTTAATGAGGCTTACTAAGGCCCAATACTAAGGCTTAATAAGGCTGAATAAGGCCTAATAAGGCCCAAGAAGGCTTAAAACGGCTTAATAAGGCTTAAGAAGGCTTAGTGAGGCTTAATAAGGCTTAACAAGGCTTAACAAGGCTTAATAAGGCTTAATAAGGCTTAATAAGGCTTCATAAGGCTTCGTAAGGCTTCATAAGGCTTAATAGCTAAACGTACAATTGCTACCTTTTCGAGGCGCCTGAATTTGGGCAATCGCCCCAGCCCCAAGGACTCACCCCGCTCGGAGGTGCCGATGGAGAGGTCGTAGCCTCCCTCCCATGGGCATTCCTCAGGGTTTAGGGTTTAGGGTTTAGGGTTTAGGGTTTAGGGCTTAGGGTTTAGGGTTTAGGGTTTAGGACCTTAGGAGGTAAGATTAGGGAGACTTCTGGGGATATAGACCCTCTCAACAAGGTCCCTGGTCTCGCTCATCCCACCTAGGATTCCTGCAGGTTCTACTGCGCCGTTCGCAGCGCTGCTCCAAGGGCGAAGCAAAGACGCGCGCAAGGAAGCCAACTTTGAGCAGCTGAGTCAGGCTGAGTGCCCGTCGTCGAAGACAGCTTTCAAGCTGCCCGCCAACCTCCCAAGGTCCCAAAGCCAAGACTTGGAATTGCTGCAGCCCCCCGCCCGATGTCACCTCCCACACCGAAGGCCCTAAAGCAATCCAAAACCAAAGCACCTCCCAACACGACACTTATGGTCATGGTCTTTCGGTTTTTACTATTAAGGGTCGCTGACCCGAGACCTGATTAGGAGATTGGGTGTCGAATTGATAAGGTTAAGGATTCTTTAGGTGCTTTGCATTTTGGGAGTGTGTCTCGGTTGCTGGTTTTGGTCGCGTCGGCAGGGCTTTCGGTGTGGGGCTTGGGAGGCGTTTTGTGCCTTGGATTGTATTTGGGGTGTCGGTGTGGGACTTGGGAGGTGAAGAGTTGATTGAGTAGGCGGGTTGCGCAATGGGGTGAAAGCGTAGGGGGAGGGGTGGCCCCCCCTACCAATGGACCAGCCTGGGGTTTCCGCAATTTGGGGTACCTTATTGGGGTCCTTATTATCAAGGCATCCTACCATTTGGGAGTTTTTGTTTAGGTTTTTTATTCGAGCCCTTATTACAAGTAGAAGGGCATCCTACTATTTGGGGGGGTCACTTTTTGGGGTCCGCCTATGTTGCGTAACCCCCCCCCCCCACCTCGTTTGGAAGCCCCAGTAGAGTCCCAGCCGCTCCCGAGGCTCTCGGGGATCGACCGCGCGTCCTGTGACCGAACTCGCCGCCGCGACTTTTGCAATTGAAATTCCATTTGGGGGGTTTCCGAAATTAGGGGTACCTTATTATTGGGGTCCGTATTCTAAGGGAATCCCACTATTTGGGGTCTATGTTCGTCGGAAAGAAAAATGCGGGAGCACGTCAGAGCTTGCACTTCTTGTCGAATCAAACCAAGAAACCTGAACCCCTAAACCCCTAACCCTAAACCCTAAACCCCTAACCCTAAACCCTAAACCCCTAAGCCCCTAAACCCTAAACCCTAGACCCTAAACCCTAAACCCTAAACCCCAAACCCCACGGGCCCATCATACTCCCCACCATGGACTCTGAATATAACCCTATTTAGGGTACTTGTAACCCTACTTATAAGTACCCATGAACCCCTGAACCCTAAACCCTAAACCCTAAGCCCTAAACCCTAAGCCCTAAACCCTAAACCCTAAACCCTAAACGATGAGAGGACGCCTCGGCGCGTTGTGGCTCCACGGCCGCGACCACTGCCGCGGCCTCCCCGGCCTCGGCCTGAGGGCTCCTGAACTTAGGTTTAGGGTTTAGGGTTTAGGGTTTAGGGTTTAGGGTCTGGGGTTGAGGGTTTAGGGTTTAGGGTTTGGGGTTTAGGGTTTAGGGTTTAGGGTTTAGGGTGTGGCAGCTGAAACTGCAGAGGGTGCAGGGTGCAGGGTGCAACAGCGTAGCAGGGCGCAGCAGCCCCAAAAACACGATCGCGCTCGTCAAACCTATGGTTTGCGGAGTGGGACACGACTATCAAGACCCACCGCCGCTGTCCTCATCCAAGCGCACCGTGACTCGCACGTCAGTGGCAATCTCTGAGCCTCCAGCGACTGTTCCTTTTGAGGTCTCTTTAGGGAAGCATTCTCCATGTTGCTTGACCCGAGCCTGCCACCCAAACAGGATCTGCCAAACCGCAGTTCACCCAGCAACCTGAAGTAGCGTGCACACCAGCAAAGCAGGAAAGTGCCAAATAGCCTACATGATGGAGGCCTGAGGAGGCAAGGCTTGCTCCATCCCTGCTCATCACTGCCAGCTTTACTTCCAACAGTCGAGTTCTCTCACGTCCACAGCAATCCCCTGGATCGGGGGCAGCGGGTGAGTGAAGTGTGAACCAGGGTGTTTGTGCTAAAAACCCTAAACCCTAAACCCTTAACCCTAAACCCTAAACTCCTGACCTCCCTCCCTCCCTCCAAGAACTGAAGTGAAGAGGAAAAGTCGGAGGGACCGACAAGCACAAGTTGGTTTTAAAGGGGGGTTCAAGATCCTCCAACCCTAGATATGGAAGGTCCGTCAGGGACCCAAGGACTTTGTCTTTTGAAAGAGTGGAAGGGGGACCCTTGGCCGTCTTCGCCCAGCTATTGGGGGAGAAGGGGGGGGAGGGGGCCCTTGTGGAAACTTCCGGGAGTACCTGGAACCCTCTCAGGGACTCCGAATGTCAAGGCTAGGCAGTCGGCCCGCACAGAGACGTTCAGGAAACCACACCGTTTACGTACATGCACAGGTTGAGAGTAAAAAACAACCACGCAACCCTTCTGCTCGCCCTCCTCGCTATCCGTGTGCGGGCGATCCATCTGCTTCTTGAGCACTACTCCTATCCACCGGGAGGGTTTAGGGTTTAGGGTTTAGGGTTTAGGGTTTAGGGTTTAGGGTTTAGGGTTTAGGGTTTAGGGTTTAGGGTTCAGGGTTCAGGGTTCAGGGTTCAGGATTTAGGGCTTAGGGTTAAGGGTTAAGGGTTTAGGATTTAGGGTTAGGGGTTAAGGGATTAGGGTTTAGGGTTTAGGGTTTAAATAGGTTTTTTTTAAAGGAGTGGCACGTGGCTGCAGTTGTGCCGGTTGTGCTCAGCACTCCGGGGCCACTCCTTCCCGGTAGGCAAGGTTCTCATACTTCCGGAGGTGGTGCGGGGCATCCAAAGGCGCCAGCAAGCCAACCCACTTCAGGTCCTCGGGCATGAGAGCAACTTTCGGAAAATTGCAGCATGATGTCTTACCGAGGTATTGTACGCTTCAGTACATGTTCGGGTAGCCAGCAAGCCCACACAGGGTCCTTGTGGACCGGAACCAGCTGCTTCCTCAAGTACTGGGGAGTCTCCAGATACTGCAGGTTCCGCACGAAGAAGGCCATGCTGTTGGACACGCCGTCCTTGCAGCGAGCTTCAGGCAACTGTGCTGCACCCCTCGTCTGCCGAGGCCATAAAGTCAGAGGATATTGGTGAGTTATCTTCGAGCCTGCCTGCTACATAACAGAAAGCCTCCGGAGAAGCATCACGGTCCATCCCTCCTTCGGACACGAAGTACACGCAGAACTACCCGCAAGCTCCTCTTCACTTGCCGCCGCATCCGAGCGATCCTCGAAGATCACCACCTTCCAAGCGGCGACGAGTAGTTTGCTTCATTTGCCACTGCAGGCAGTCTGGGGACCCTGGCAAGGCCCAACCTCGTCGACTCCGTAAATCGTCAAGGCTCGGGCAATCTGTCCCACAAGGACTGCCTTCAACTCGCCGCCTTGCGCGTTTTCCTCTGCGCGAGCACTCTATAGAATGCCTTAGAAAGCCTTAGACTGCCTTGAATACACGCGGATGGGCGCCGTTACGCACCACGCAACAGCCGTGCAGATTTGCTAGCAGAGCCAAGCATCCACAATGCTGGCGGGCAGGGCAACAGACAAGGTCGTAAGCCTGCCGGACTTGGGCCTGGGATCGCACTCTTTGGAATCGCTCTGAGTCTTTTGTTTTCCGTTGCTTTTGGTGTCAAGCTGATAATGAACAGTCCGTACTAGGGATTGTAATAGGGGGTACCGGAATCCCTACTAAGGACTGGTAGTACAAGGGGAATATGTCTGCTTGTGTGTTCGCGACTTGCGTGTGTCTGGGAAGCCGCTGTACATGCGGCGCGTCCGACATGTTGTCATCTGTAGGGAGGACACGGGGAGTGTCGGGGCGGCTCTCCCCACCGAAGTTCCCCCGCCCCCCACACCCCTGGAAGACGTAACTGCCTTTGGTCTGTGGCTGGACCCTGTCATGGGTAGCTGCCGGGACCCTCATCCTCATCGTTAGCTTCACCTCATCCTCGTGTGTTTTGCCATTCCTTCGTGTCTGGTATGACGGCGACGACAACAGTGGCAACAGGACGAAACGTGGCTTTGTGGCTTGCTGTATTTTGAGTGAGCATTAGATTTGAATTTTTAATTTGAAGATTCGTCGTGCCAGGGATAGCACCGGCAAGTATGCAATTCCAGGCATGGAAAACAGTTAAATCAAGAAGGAATTAAGCTGGGACATGAAGTCCAGAACAAGACACACATGTTTTGAGTCAATGGTCGGGAATCGACGAGGACCATTTGGTGTTTCGAGAATATTTCAAAATGATTCTTGCAGCGAAGCCGAAGCATCTATCTGCTGTTAGCCACATCCACGCTGTCACTTCTCGCAACATCCAAGCTCTGTATCTGTGACCGTGACAACGATTGCGCGTTAGTTGGTGGCAGCACAGCAGCTTTACGAGTTCGGCGATCGTACACTCGCATGCCAAGAGGCATTGTCAGAAAAACGGTTACGAAGTGAAGGAGAATGGAGGTTTTTGCTTGTGAGTGTGCACACTGCAAATGAGCAGACTCTGAGGAGTCACGGAGAACCTCCTGGCCATCCTGGACCTGCCCCTACTCATCTGGCGACAGGAGTCGTTCCACCCACGGTGTGGGGTTCAGGGTTTAGGGTTTATGGCTGAGGGTTGAGGGTTTAGGGCTTAGGGTTTAGGGTTTAGGGTTTTAGGGTGTAGGGCTCCAGTACTCCCTGGAGTGCCAACCCCAAATGGAGAGAATCCGGGTCACTGGAGCGCCCACCCCCCCCCCCCCCGAAAGAAAGGATCTGCCCCAGATGTCATTTTGCCCCTCGCTCTTGTGCACCCCCTGCCTTTTGTTTGTGCTTGTGTGACTTTAGCGTTGGTCTCAGGCTCTGGCTTGAGCATCTGCACAGCACTGGGCTTGGATGTCGCCCCGCGGCCTTCGATCTTGAACCGCAACCGTGCCCCGACAAGCTGATTGGTTCGGAAACGTTCCGGAACTGGGGCGAGACATTACCAAAACATGACCAAAACTTACCTGGTGTGCACCGCTACATCCAACGCTTCTTTGCTCTTCGAGGTGCTTGACAAGGTCGACTTCAGCCAGATGCATCAATGCTCCCAGCTAGCGGTTGACTCCAAGCCTGAACCTGCTGCAACCATCTGCAACCCAAGACTGTTGTCTTCAAGTTTCGCCATGCTGTCTCTGCATCTCTCTGTCTAGGGCCTATAGGGTTCAAAGCGGCTCAACACATGGCGGTTAACGATATTAGGGGTACCGTATTGGGGTCCTTTTTGAATCCTACTATTTGGGAACTACATTTGGGTCCCTTATTTTCGTAAACACATGCAACAGACCCCCAGCCCGAATGGCCTGGGCCGGTCTTCGGCTGGCCAGCTGCCTCCTCCTCCCCATGCCCGGAGCCCTCGTCGGGCTCCTCGCGCTTCCGTTTCTTGCCACCCATGGCAGCAGCAGGGCTCGCCTGGTGTTTCTTTTGGCAAACCCACTGGTTGCTGCCTGACAACTGGACAAGGTCTGCCGGTTGCTTGTAGAAGGGGCTCAGCTGCTGTGACTGGGTGAAGTGAAGAAACCATTGCCAATCTTTAAGCTTGACCGGGTTGGATTCCTGTCGAAAGCAGCTCCAGATATCCATGCGCCGCGCCGCCTCATGCATATGTAAGCACAAGCAGACGCGACAGCATCACAACATGCTTTTTGAAAATCTCAACGCGCTCGCCGCGTCTGAGGCGACACTCGCCTCTGTTCAAGCCTGATCCGGCCTCATTTCAGCCCATGGGATCAGTGCATGGTGGCATCCGGCATCAGACGAGTGAGACACTACAAACACTCAGAGTCGGCGCTCTTTCGGCCCAGCACTCTCAGGACGAATTCTGACGGCTCAAGCCCTGGATTTCACGGATTCGCGCCTGGGCCACATCGCGGCGCAGGGGGACTTACTAGACGGCCCATCAGAGTCGATCATCTCCAACCCAACCCCTAACTCCAAACCCTAGGCAACGGGATATACAGATCCAGCTAATTCCGACACTGTCAACTGTGAAGGTCAACCCTAAACCCTAAACTAAACCTCTTACTCTCTGTTTTATGGCAAATCTCGACGGCCGCTTCGAGGATGCTGCCAAGTTGGCGCGACGGCCGCGAAGGTGGGCGGCGCCCTCACCGCGGTCGCGGAGCTGCCTTTCAATGGTAAACCATTTGCCTCCCTTTCAATGGGAAAGTCTGCACTGTCCCTAAACCCTAAACCTTAGCCCGAAAGTTGAGCTTGCTTGCCACTCGGCCTGTCCACATCCCGCGGCTGCCACTTCCAACCTGCAAGCGGCAGAGGCCCAAGTTGGGCTAAGCACCGCGCCCATAGGGTTTAGGGTTTCGGGTTTAGGGTTTTGGGGTTTAGGGTTTAGGGTTTAGGGTTAAGTTTAGGGATCAGAGAGATCTCTGGGATTCTTCTGCAAGGCTCTTGGGAGTGCAGTGCTTCCGAGCTCCTGGCGAACAGGCGGTGCCACCTTTCGAGCCGTCAAGACTCTGCACATCTCTGAGCACCACTCTCGCAACAATCCCAAAACCCTGGCTACCACCACTACACCAGAAGGCCATGAAAAAAGCGACATGACCCGACATGATGCGACATGATGAGACGTAGTTCAAGGAGGATGGACAGGAGCCCATTCGAGACTTATGTGTGATCTCGACTCTTTGGGCAGAGACATGGCCTGCATCATGTCAGCACCACTCCAGCGCCGGCTGCTCGCTCCTCAGTGCATTCAGAACTCGGACTAAGGATTTTTAAATTACGCTGTTACTATGTGATTATGCTATGATATTATTATATTATTCTGTCTATTTATATATATATATCTAAATATTTATGTTTATATGTATGGTATGTATTGTATTTATTTATTTATATTGATATATAATTATATTACTATATACGATATTGCTATATTCCCATATTGCTATATTTCTACCCCAAGAGCAGGCCAGTGCTGTTGCTCGTCCCCGAAGAAGGCCTTGAGTGTTCATGCAACCGTGCTGCCCAAGCTTCCAGGCGACCTGACACGTGGGTACGGATGGGGGGTGCTTGACGTGGTTTCCGGTTGGGGTTTAAGTGTGCGGGGTTTGGCTGTGGAAAGCAACCAGGCCCTGACATCAGAAAATTGTCAAGCACAACCCCAAATACAGCAAATCAGATACGTTGAGTTTGTTCAATGTTCACCCTCGACTCCGACGACGGTCGTAGAACCTCCCCCTGAAGCCAGAGAGCAGTCTGAGAAGCTCACGGCGTACGCGTTGAGGCCGATGAGGATGGGAGTGATATTGCGAGGGTGGGCGACGTGGCACCCGAAATGGGCCTGGCCTCGCATTCGCCCCTCCCACCCCACCACTCACCCCTCCCCACCACCACCCTCCCCAGCCCACCCCCCACCCACCGCACGAGCTTATAGGCACCCAAGCAACCGCGCCCCACGCGCATCCGCAGGGCGCGCACCTGCACGCACACGCACCCCTGCACCTGTGCATGCACGTGCACGCGCACCCGCCAGCGAAGGCGCACGCAAACCTGTAGACCCGCACCTGCAACCGTGCTTGCCCGCGCACACATGCGCGCAAAGCCTGACCAACTACCAAGCTCTTTGAAAGAACCTCTGCACTGCTGGTCGACTTGTGTCACTGCACCTTTCTCAGAAAGGCAAGGGCCTCCGCTCCGGTGCTCTCCGAGCCTGGCGAAACGGCGCAAGGTGAGAGGACACCGAGAGGCGCAGAACATCCGAGCGCCTCGAAGGGACGGATAGCCACGCTCCTCATGAGTCAGGAATATGCCCTAAACCCTAAACCCTAAACCCTAAACCCTCCATAGGCCAAGTGTGCCCACACTCTCGGATTCTGCAGGACGAGAATGTGAATGTCAGAAATCTTCAACTCCTGCACTGCGTGTGCCGCCAGCTCCAGAGACCTTGGTGAACTTTAGGGTTTAGGGTTCAGGGTTTAGGTTTAGCGTTTAGGGTTAAGGTTTAGGGTTTAGGGTTTAAGAAGCCTGGAGCCTTTATCCGAGAAGAGCTCGGGTCGAACTACCGTAGAGGAGTGCCTGAGGCGGTTGCAAATGTTCGAAGGTTGCGCCGCTGAATCAGCAAAGCTGAAGTATGGAACACTCAAGTAACCACAAGCCAGGAGCACACAAACGAAAGCCAGGTTAAAGGGTCGGCAAAACAACAGGGACAGCAAATAGAGCCGGCAGACTAGCGAAGATGCCCAACGGAACGCATGTGCAAGGTCTGGCTGTTCCAGTCAAACCTCCGCGGCCCAACGGACCTTAACGGTCCTTGGGAGATCAGAGTGCCTGAGTCGTCAATGTCAAGGTTAGGATTTAGGGTTTAGGGTTTAGGGTTTAGGGTTTAGGGTTTGGGGTTTGGGGTTTGGGGTTTAGGGTTTAGGGTTTAGGGTTTAGGGTTTAGGGTTTAGGGTTTAGGGTTTAGGGTTTAGGGCTCCCGCCTTGCATCGACGTCACATCCTGGGACTCCCTGCGGGGAGTTGTCGCGAGCTGCGCGCAGCTCACCGGCTAAGCCCTGAGACATCTGCGGGCTTCCGAAATTAGGGTTTAGGGAGGGTTCAGGGTATAGGGTTTAGGGTTTAGGGTTTAGGGTTTAGGGTTTAGGCTTTTGGCTTTTGGCGAGGTTTAGGGTTTAGGGCACCATGGGGGTTTCCGAAGTTAGGGGTGCCTTTTTCGCAATCCTGCTCTTCTTGGTCTCTTCTCTTCATGAACATATGGGTTTCCGAAATTAGGGGTTCCGAAATTAGGGGTACCTTTATAGGGTCCTTTTTCAAGGGAATCCTACTATTGGGGGGCCTCTATTTTGCAGGTCCCCGATTTTCGTAAACCCCCATCTCAAAGAAGAAGTATGGGGATCTGCAACTCCCGGGCACATGACATCTCGTCAACGACACATGCACCCGCTCAACACTCCACGATCCTTTGCCTGGACATGCGGGCGCGGTCTTTGCATACCCGGCGCCCTGGCAGGACTGCATGTAACAGTGTGCAGGAACTGCGGCACCATCGGCAAGCTGCTGCAAGCCAGATCTTGATCCGATTGAAGGAAGTTTTTGGGCACACGCCCCCTAGCTGCTATCCGCAGCTCGAAGACCCTTGCACTGCAAGAAACCCTGGTAATCCTGGTACCTGGGAGGTCGATCTATCGGCGGCGCCGGTGCCAAATTCATCTGGGCAAATGGGGGGGGTCTTCGTTGAGGTCACAGGTCTCAGACTTAGGAATACAAAGGACCTACAGGCTTCGGGGGGGCTTAGCCTCACAAGATCTCGATGCCAGGCTGGAATCGCCACGGGCGCCAAGTGTCTGTGTAAGCTGTGAGCTGCAGGTAATCAGAGGTGAGGTCTTAAGCGTGGAATTAGACTTGGAGCAAAGCTGGTGTTGTGACGGTACGTTGGAACTTGAAGGTGACCGACAGCTGAGCAAGGCAACTTCGAACTCCGACCAAGGGCAAAAGCAAAGTAGCACCATGTGGGTGGTGGTCAAAAGTATGGTCCCTTTTTGGATCCCTATTATAATACGGCACTAGTATTTAGGGTACCCCACAAGGGATCATAATTTTGACGACCACCCATGTAGCGTCTTGCTGATGGTGAACCAACTGAGCAACTCCGGCACAGCCAAGACATTTTTCTGGATGGAACTGCTCTGTGAAACTGAGAGCTTTGCCTTCCAAACACAGCCACAAAGCCGATGTGATCTGTACAGGAAATGCGTATAAATGCCCTAAACTCTGGTTTCTCAGGCTTCATCAAGGATCTGCCGCAGCAGAAGGGCATGCGCGAAGGACGTCTCCTCACAAGTTCCGAGCTACTTCGATGGTCCTCAAACAGTGCTTCCATGCGCTCTTTCACGTGCTTTCTGCGCCAATTCTCCCTGTTGGAGCTTAGTTCTCTATCGCTTTCTAACTCCACGACAAAAGGCTTGGCACTTTCCAACGTCTGCTGTACAAGTCACCGCAGGCTACAAAGATCTGTTGATATCTGATTGCCAATGGCGGAGAAACCGCCACAGGGAAGGGCTGGGAACGCACGGCTGGAAGTGGCAGCTTCAGCTAGATGAGAAGCTTTGCGCGCAATCGGCACAATTGCCAATGAGGGGTATGGAATCCGAGCCCTCCCCCAACCCAGTTCGAAGGCTGCACCTCAGGAAGGTTACGGAACCGACCACATGCAGGTCTTTGTCTCGGTCATTTGATGCCATGTCTCTCAAGGTGATGCTAGGGAAGAAGAGTCCGAACAGTTAGTCTACTGCATTGAACCCACCAGACAACTGCATCTCGACACATGAAGACAAGAGCTGCAGGGTCTTCTGTAAAAGTCTCCCTGACATGTGCTGCCTCGATGTCAGCTTCACTCCCTTTCAAAAACTACGCATTCACACGGCGCAGCTCCGCGCA